AGGAAAGAGAAGGAAAGGGAGAGAGAGAGAGAGCTGCCTGCCTCTTCAGAGGACCAACAGAGACAGGAAGTAGGCAGAGCTTTTCTTTTTGTTTTGGTTTTCCGAGACGGGGTTTCTCTGTGGCTTTGTAGACTGTCCTGGAACTAGCTCTTGTAGACCAGGCTGGTCTCGAACTCACAGAGATCCACCTGTCTCTGCCGCCTGAGTGCTGGAATCAAAGGCGTGCACCACCACTGCCCGGCTGAGCTTGTCTCTTAAAGGGACCTTTTGGAGCTTAGTACAGAGCCAGAGTACTACTTGCCATGCTGCCAGGTGGGCAAGATGACCCCGAGTAACAGCTATTCAAAAAGAACAACATTAACGTAGCAAATGAGGGGCCTAAAGCCAGGCTGTGGTCATTGCTTTGTTTGCACAGGGAGAGGCTTTCATCTAATGTAGAGATGTAGTGCATGGATGGGAACTAGGACCATCCTTCACTGTGCTGACCAGTAGTTAGAAATCTGCTGTTTGGCATCTGCTGTGTGGCTTATAACCCTGTGGGTGTTAATGTCTCCTGCATGCTTTTTCTTTGTGGTGGTGTGTTTACAGTTACTGTCTAAGATCAAAAGTTAATGACACCTTGTTTAATGAAAAGGGAAAGGTAGTGATGCTGTGTATATATATATATACATATATATATACATATATATGTATGTATGTATGTATGTATGTATGTATGTATGTATGGTTAAATTTCAAACCTGGGACAAAGGGCTGAGGTGTCTATTTAATATATCAAAGTGGACCTTGTTGTTAATTAGGGAACCCGGGCCGGCACAATAAATGGAGCACAAGCCATGGAGAGCATATTAATCATAGTTTATTATAGTGAGACCTTAGTTGGAAAAGCAATTGAGTTGAAGCTCACAGGTTGCCGGCATCCCAGACAGCCAAGGTAGGAGGAGATGCCAGAAAAACCTGCCGAGTCTTGTCACCAAATGTTGTTATGTTGTTTAAGACTAGAAATTAGAAAAAAGGAAAAAGAAACTCACACTCTCTCATCTTCCTATCTCTGTCATGTCTGTCTCCCCCCTTTCAGTCTCGCTATAATAAACTGTAGTTAACTTGCTCTCCATGGCTCATGCTATATCGTGCTGGTCCCAGTTCCCGTCCCCGTTCCTGTCTCCTGCAACACTTTCTATCTCCTTTTTTTCTAATTTCTAATCTTAAGCAAAATAACAACAGACCTGGCCACCAGGTTATCCAGCATCCCTCAGTCCCTAGCTGTTACAGCTGGCATACCCTGCCATCTACCCTGAACTGTCCAGCCCAGGGGCTGAACTATCCTTCTCCCAGAGGCTCTTCCTTATATAATCCAGACATTTTGATTACCCATTTTCCCTTTTGTACCTTTGGCCTCCGGGCTGCTGTACCTGATTCGCCTCTCCTCCCCTCCTCCTCTCCCACATGGCCCTGCTCAGTCTGGTCATGTCCACTCTGGACTCTCCCAGATGCCTCTGCCTCTCCCTATGTGCCCCTTCTATCTATAATGAACTTTCTCCTCCACCATCCCCTGGAGCAGTCATGCCCTTTCCTTTTCTTTTTAGTTAATTGTTTCATTCAGTGTGCATGGGTGAAGGTTATGTGTCACTCAGTTCCCTGAATCTTTTTATTGAAACTGAGATAGAAAAAAAAATTGATGGGAAATAAAAGGAAACAATTCTGGCAATATCTTTGCTGTGTAAATCTCCCATCTGTCCAAGTGACCAGACTTGCAGTTTTCTGTCTCTGTTTAAATTGTTCAAAGTATAACCTGGAGCCAGGGCCCTCAAAGAGACTTAAGGATGACAGAGCATAGACAATGCCTAAGTCTAAGGTGTACATGTGAAAGACCCCCAGAGTGGGGAGACCCTCACTCAAGTCTCGGGATAAGCCGATGCCCCAATAATTCAAGAGAGACTGTTCTTGATGCAAGCACACGAGGTTTATTCAGGGAACCAGTGCACTGGGGCCAACCTCATAACCCTCGCAGGGGCAGAGGAATTTGACCCCCAGTAGTTGTAGTGGGGGGGGGTTGAAAGGGAAAAACCATAAAGAATGGGGGAGTTAGGCAAACATAAAGGATGGGTAAGTTAGGTAAACACCATAAAGGATGGGGAAGTTAAGTGATAGCTCATGCCTTCACGGGAAGGTTATAGGTTATCTCAAGCAAGCATTCTTTGGGCATTGTACGGTTAAACTTGAGCAGGAATGTGGTGAGCTAGTACCTGGATCAGGCAGTGTTATCTTTTAAGTTTGTCTTAAGGTCACTGGTTTCTCAGGAGAGAGCAGAAGGACAAGTTACTCTGTGATGGGCTAGTTGCTAGGGGTCTAAAAATGTTGAGTTGGGGTCTTTCATTCCCCACTTCTTTTAGTAAGCAGTTCTAATCATAGAACTGCAAAACTAAATTTCTGACTCTATATAGTCTGCATTGCCCTGTCCTAATCTCTGATACTGCTGGCATAGCATAAGAATCTGTACAACACTAACTCTTTGTCTAATAAAAGCAATTAATCTATTAATTATGCAAGGTCCTATAGTCGTAGAAGAAGCAAGATCAGTAAGGGGCCCATCAGGGCAGAAAGCAAAGTCGTCATCCATGGCAATCTGCTGAACCAGCCCTCGTACCAGTTTTGTGTGGCCTCCCGGTCTCATTTGCATTTTTCTAATCTTTCTCTGAGCCTGCTCATGGAATCTCTGATAGCTCCAGAGTGATCAATGTAAAAACAACCTTCTTCTTTAAGGGCAGCTCATAGTCCCCCTTCCTTAAGGAACAACAGGTCTAAGCCTCTCCTATTCTGCAGAACTACCTCAGAGAGGGAGGCAAGAGATGCTTCTAACTTAGTGACAGAGCTTTCTAGCGCTTTGATATCCTGTGTGTCTTAGCGGCCTGTAGAGTATTCAGGCCATGCTGGAGGTCTTGGGGTCCCTTAATGAGTGCTGTAGTCCCGGTAACAATTTTTGCTGCTATGCTCAAACCCAACATTACTGCTAAGGTGAGGGATACCGGTTCCCTCTTGTCCCTTCTTTGGTTATAATCATAAGCATCTATGACTGTCTCCTTGGGGTGGTAGTAGACACGAGGAACCAGCTGAGCCATAGCACAAAAGTGTCTTGATTGGTTAAACACAACAGTAGAGACACAGGGGATAAGCCCAGTACTGCACACCCACCAGCTATTGTTACATGGTAACAGATAAGGGTTGGTCTCTGTTACCATATCTGTTGAGGAGCTGTTGCAGAGGTGCTGGTGGGAGCAAGGTACTGTCCTTAGGCATAATTCTGAGCCTGAGACTTCAGGAAGGGTGAGCTTACTTTGGGAGCCCCAAGATCATTGATTTGGATCTGTCACAGAGGTGAGGGTACCAGAGATGGCAGTTCCCTCGTAATAAGGAGGACCAGCGGCAAGACAAAGCCAGCAAGACGAGGTAGCATTGGGATTGGTAGTATTTAAAGCTAGAAAAGCCCCTTGAATCAGGTTAAAGAATTTATCACCAGTGGTAGGGGGCAGAGCGAAGGTTTCTGCAGGGGGAATTATCGTCCCATGGGGTTGGGGCTCAGAAATGGGGAATCAGGGCTTATGGGGGGAAGAGGCGGTGGTAACACCCGTTGGGGAGGTCCTTGCTCTGGGAATACCTTATCAGGTCCTATGGGAACCTCTGGAGGGCTCTCAATCTTGAGCCTAATCTGGAATGAAAACCCGTTATCCCATCCTGACATATAGAACCTCAGACCCCAGGTTCGGCCCTTGGGCCAGGCAGTAAACTGCTTCCCTGGGTTTGTGAAGGTGATATTGAGGGAGTCTAGGCCCTTATTCTTTCTAGCAACAGTAATCAAGTCCCACAGGGATGTGGGATGCCAGTGGGCATCTCCAGTAGTTTCACATCCCCATTGTTTGCAATAGAAATGTCCCAGTCCTCCACATCTGTTGGGCGCTGCCCTGGAACCACGCCATGGCGAGATGGCGCTGACATCCGCCTGACAGTTGCAATGACAACCCTGCTGCGCATGAGCAGGAGCTCCCTGCCCACGAGGCCGGGGGTGCCTGTGCCTTACGTCACCTCGGGTGACATAATTGGACCAGTAATTAACTGCCACGTCCGAGGCGAGAGAAACTCTCTATATAAGGAGAGTCCCGTTAGGGCGTGGGGTCTTCGCTTTGTGATAGCTTATGCTCCTCCTCTCAGGAGCAATAAAGCTTACTGCAGAAGGATCCTGATCGTGTGCCGCGTCATTCTTGCGGGCGAGATAGAGCGCGGGACAACTGGTGCCGAAACCCGGGAAACTGACCAAGCCATCGTCCGCACCATCGAAGACCCCTTGGAAACGAGGAGGATTCAGAACTGCAGGCAGGTAAGTTCGGAGAGGTATGCTGATCTGGGACTTTGGTCTGGGGTTGTCTCCGCCTTGGGAGGGTTTGCCTGAAGCAATCGTCCTCCTTGGTATTGTTCTTGTCTTCTTTATACTGGTCACCTAAGCCTCCTGTAGATAAAGGGGCCTGAACAGTCTCTTCTGTCCTTTGCTTTCGTTTTTCCCCATTTGCTGTAAGACGGACGTAGATAAGCCGCGGTCATCTGTACCATTGGTAACGGTGGTGATTAGTCAGACGTAGATAAGCTGCAGCCACCATGGGGTCCTCTCAATCCATATTAACTACCTTGGAGACTGTATTAAAGCAGAGGAATATCAAGGTTGACAGAAAGACGTTACGGAGCTTTGTCAAGGAGGTCGATCGTGTGGCACCCTGGTATGCCCTTTCTGGCTCTCTCACCCTGGCATCATGGAATAAGTTGGGGAGGGATCTTGATCGACACCTAGAGCAAAGAGACCTAAGGATAGGGACCAAGGCAGTATGGAAACTAGTGAAGAACTGTATTGAGGATGAAGCTTGCCAGGCGGCCGTTGTAGAGGGTCAGGCCATTCTCGAGGTAACCCAGGATAGCATGTCAGAAACCGAACGTAGTGAGAGGTCAGGCGCGCGAGAAAACGGAGGTATACAAAAGAAAAACTAAGAAAAAGAGCCCTCCTGTTTTAGGAGAGAACATTATAGCAAAACCAGATGCCCTTCCTGGCCTTTCCACTAAAGGGACAGGTCAAATGTATCCTTTTAAAGAACTGGAGGCGCTGAACCTCGGCAGCTCCGCCAGTTCTGAGTCTTCTGATTCCGAACAAGACTCTCTAGGCCCTGGAGATGAAACAGAACTAGAAGAAGAGGCTACAAAGTACGAGGCGGAGAGATATCACCCGGATGGGGAGTTTTTCTCTAAACTGCTACCCAAGGGCAAGGCCTCAGCAAAAGCGATAGCAACTCCATCTGCTCCGCCTATGCCGCTCTCTCCCCCCCCTTATGAAGGGCGTTTACATAGTTTCTCCTTTTTACCTGAAAAAATTAGAAGAAAGGTCCATCTCACCTTCCCCGTTTTCGAAGTAGAGAATGGAGGGCGGGTACATACTCCGGTTGAGTATAAACAGATAAAAGAATTGGCAGAATCGGTTCGTAATTATGGACCTAATGCCAACTTTACTATTATGCAGATAGAAAGGCTTGCCTTGGATCCCTAACTCCTGCCGATTGGCAGATGGTGGTGAAGGCAGTATTACCAAATATGGGGCAATATATGGAATGGAGAGCATTATGGCATGAGGCTGCCCAGTCACAGGCGAGGGCTAACGCCATAGCACTCACCCCAGAGCAGAGAGAATGGAATTTCGATCTGCTTACAGGACAAGGAGTCTATGCTGTGAACCAAATTAATTACCCTTGGGGCGCATATGCTCAAATAGCCACCCTGGTAATTAGGGCATGGAAGTCACTTACGCAGAAAGGGAAGGCAGGTGGACAACTTACCAAGATTATACAACAACCTCAGGAGCCATTTTCCGATTTTGTGGCAAGGATGACGGAAGCGGCAGGAAGAATTTTTGGAGATACAGAGCAGGTTAAGCCGTTGATAGAACAGCTCATCTTCGAGCAGGCTACACAAGAATGTAAAACAGCAATTGCCCCTAGGAAAGGAAAAGGTTTGGATGATTGGCTCAGGGTATGCAGAGAACTCGGAGGACCGCTTACTAATGCAGGCTTGGCGGCTGCCATTCTTCAATCACAAAGAAAGCCGACGGGCTTCAAGGATCGGAGGCTCTGTTTTAATTGTGGAAAGCCAGGGCACCTAAAAAAAGAATGTCGAGCTCTAAAAAAGGGTCAGGATACTATCTGTGCCAGATGTGGGAAAGGCTACCATAAGGCAAGCCAATGCAGATCCATAAGAGACCTTAAGGGCAATCTCCTTCCCCCCCGTAAACCAGGTACAGCTGACCAAGAGCCAAAAAACGGCCAGGTGGGCCCCCGATCCCGGGGCCCGCAAAGATACGGGACTCAGTTTGCCAAGGCCAGTTCCGAGGAGGAGACGACTCCACAAGAGACGTCAGGATGGACTTGCGTGCCGCCACCTCAGTCCTACTAATGCCACATATGGGGGTCCATCCAGTGCCTGCGGCACCTTTGCATCCCCCATTGCCTGATGGTATGATAGGACTTATAATAGGCCATGGTGCCCTTACTGCGCAGGGACTAATTGTACATCCTGGAATAATTGATAACCACCATATTCCAGATATTCAAATTCTTTGTTCCAGCCCCCAAGGTGTTTTCTCCATCCATAAGGGGGATAGGATAGCTCAGCTTGTATTGCTTCCAGCAAAAGATCAAATTTCACAAGATATAAAAGGTTCGATGGGATCCACAGGGACGGACTCGGCCTATTTAACTGTGGCACTAAATACAAGGCCTAAGTTAACTCTTAGAATTAATGGCAAAAGTTTTGAGGGCATTTTGGATACAGGGGCTGACAAAAGTATTATTTCAACACATTGGTGGCCAAAAAGTTGGGCGGTCACACAGTCCTCTCATTCTCTACAGGGGCTGGGATATCAATCCAGCCCTGACATCAGCTCTAGTGCCCTAACTTGGGAATCCTCAGAAGGACTGAGAGGCCAATTTACCCCCTATGTCTTACCCTTACCAGTTAATTTATGGGGTAGAGACATCCTAACAGAAACGGGCCTTACCTTAACCAATAATTATTCGCCCTCAGTTAGAAACATGATGGAAAAGATGGGGTTTCAAGAAGGCCGGGGCTTGGGACGTCTTGAGCAAGGCAATCCCCGCCCTATATCACCCCGACCTCATGAAGGTAAAACGGGCTTGGGTTTTTTCTTGAGCGCCACTGAGGCAGCACGACCCATACCATGGAAGACGGAGGACCCGGTATGGGTTCCTCAGTGGCCATTAACCTCCGAGAAACTGAATGCCATCATGAAAATAATTACAGAACAGCTTTGCCTTGGTCATATAGAACCATCCACTTCGCCTTGGAATACTCCGATTTTTGTTATCAAAAAGAAATCAGGAAAATGGCGCTTGTTGCATGACCTAAGGGCCATTAATGTACAAATGTTACTATTGGGTCCGGTCCAGCGAGGATTGCCTCTACTCACTGCCCTGCCAAAAGGGTGGCCCCTTCTGATCATAGATATTAAGGACTGTTTTTTCTCCATACCCTTACATCCCGTTGATCGCCCGCGTTTTGCCTTTACGGTACCTTCTTTAAATCATGCAGAACCAGATAAGAGATACCAATGGAAAGTTTTGCCTCAGGGAATGGCCAATAGTCCAACCATCTGTCAGCTCTTTGTTGATCAGGCACTTGCCCCAGTTAAAAGACAGTTCCCGCAGGTCCTGTCTATCCATTATATGGATGATGTGCTGTTATGTCATCAAGATCTTACAGTTTTACAGCAAATGTTCCCTGTCTTACAAAAGCAATTAAGTCAATGGGGACTTTCCCTAGCCACTGAAAAGGTACAAATAACCGACTCCGGATCATTCCTGGGCTCGGTTATCCGACCTGATTTCATTAGACCACAGAAGGTTGAAATTAGAAAAGATAAGTTACAAACTCTAAATGATTTTCAAAAGTTATTGGGTGATATTAATTGGCTAAGACCTTTTTTAAAAATTCCCACCATTGAATTAAAACCTCTATTTGATATTTTAGAAGGGGACCCGCATATCACCTCCCCAAGGAAATTGGATCCCTCGGCAAGCGAGGCTCTTTGCAAAGTCGAGAAAGCTATAACTCAGGCCCAGCTGGATAGGATAGATTATACCCAGCCAATTTTGTTATGTGTCTTGAACACACAAGGTCTACCCACCGCCGTTGTTTGGCAACAAGGGCCTTTATGCTGGGTCCATCCTCGAGCTTCCCCTGCTAAAATTGTTGATTGGTATCCAGCTGCTGTTGCACAATTGGTTATAAAAGGCATTAAAATGACAATAGAATACTTTGGTCTGGAGCCTAATATCATTGTTAGCCCCTATACTCCGGATCAAATACAGGTTTTGGCCGCCACCTCTAGCGACTGGTCAGTCCTATGTGCTTCATTTTCAGGGACCTTTGATAATCATTATCCCAGGCATCCACTTTTACAGTTTGCTTTGGCCCAGCCTTTAGTTTTCCCAAAAATTACCTCTAATACCCCAATTAAGAATGGGATAGTAGTATATACAGATGGTTCTAAAACAGGACAAGGGGCCTATGTTGTAAATGATATGACTTATATAAAACATTTTCCTGAATCTTCCCCACAAGTCGTTGAATGCCTCGTGGTATTAGAAGTTTTACAACAATTTATGGGCCCACTTAATATTGTTTCAGATTCATTATATGTAGTTAATGCAGTTAAAATTCTTGAAACTGCCGGGTTGATTAGACCTTCTAGTAAGGTGGCTCACATATTTGAAGCCATTAGAGCTGCTCTGCTGCAAAGGCGGCATCCTTTCTTTATTGAACACATAAGAGCTCATTCTGGTCTTCCCGGCCCCATGGCAAAAGGGAACGCGCTCGCTGATCAAGCCACTAGACTTGCAGCTGTTGCGCTTTCTTCACCCATAATAGCTGCAAAAGAATTTCATAATAAATTTCATGTTACTTCAGAGACATTACGCAGACGCTTTTCTTTAACCAGAAAAGAAGCTAGAGATATAGTGATACAATGTCAAAATTGCTGTCAGTTTTTGCCTGTCCCCCATCGAGGAATTAACCCGAGAGGTTTGATCCCCTTACAAGTTTGGCAAATGGATGTTACCCATTATGTCCCTTTTGGTAAATTGCAATATATACATGTTTCTGTTGATACTTGTTCTGGAATATTTTTTGCCACCCCACTTTCAGGGGAGAAGGCTTCTCATGTGATTCAGCACTGTCTTGAGGCCTGGAGTGCCTGGGGCAAACCCCGCTGTCTTAAAACCGACAACGGGCCTGCCTATACTTCACAAAAATTTAAACAATTTTGTGCACAAATGCAAGTTACTCATATTACTGGATTGCCCTATAATCCTCAAGGTCAGGGCATCATTGAGAGAGCACATCGGACACTTAAATCATATTTATTAAAGCAAAAAGGGGGAGCAATAATGGAGCTACCCCCTGGACCGAGAGTGGCCATAGCCATGTCACTCTTTACCCTGAATTTTTTGAACTTGGATGATTCAGGGATGAGTGCGGCTGAGCGACATTGCACAGAACCTAAAAGGCCCAAGGAATGGGTGAAATGGAAAGATGTGCTAACTAATCAATGGAAAGGCCCGGATCCTATCCTGATAAGGTCCAGGGGAGCTGTCTGTGTTTTTCCACAGGATGAAGACAATCCGTTCTGGGTTCCGGAAAGACTCATTCGTAAGATGGGGAACCCTGATGATAATGATCATGGCTCAAGCCTGGAGGGCAACGGGAGAAAGAAGATGGGGAATCATGTCGACCTTTCCCCTCCCCATGCCGGTGATGTATAATGCACAAGTGTTTCCTAGATTTTTTTTTCACCAATAAAGAGCTAGGGCTAGCTTATTTGCCCCAAGATAATCAGATTCATGCAGTACAAGAAAATCGCTCCCTCTCCTTAAGAGGAAGCTTATGCTTTCATTTTTCCAAAGTAAATGATAATAAAAATAGTATTAACTGTGTTAATTTGAGGAATCAATCGGCTGCCTGGCAAGGCGAGGCTAGTTGGGGAACTGATTTAGAGATTGTAGCCAATGCATCCGATGTTGGGCGCTGCCGGTTAGTACTAATGCTACTCCCCATGATCAGCCAAAGTTAGCCCCATTTTGTAAAGGGATTCAATCAGAAGAGTATATCCTGCCTTGGACTGAATGTCAATCTAGGTATCAACACTGGGTAGGCCCTAATACCTTCACTTTCTCACCCAGCCTAGGGCATCATTTTTTGAATATGACACCCTTGACAACTTGGGTCAATCCCTTTGACGGATTTGACTCCTATGGTAATGATAGGAGGAGGAGCTGGGGAAAAAGGACAAATCTCTTACAATTGGAAGGGCAAATTTTCGGGGGGATCTGGCTCCGGCACTTGGCAAGCTTCAGATATGAAGCATAAAGAATTTATTAGAAAAGAATATGCCCCATCACCAGTTTGTGTTTGGCCCCCTTTTTATGGATTGTAAGCAATAATTTTATAGGTGAGAATGAGGAATTAAGATGTGATACCAAGAGCTGCTTTTATACATTATGCTGGGATGCCACGAAATATTCTTATGCTGTGGTGACTAGAATGCCGAGGTTTGTGCCCGTGCCGGTGAAAGCCCCGAGTAGCTTGTCTCTGCTACGCACAAAAAGAGATTTCGGCATCTCGGCCATAATTGTAGCCATTGTGGCCACTACAGCAGTGGCTGCCTCTGTGACCGCCTCGGCAATGGCCCTATCCACATCTGTACAAACGGCAGATACTCTTGATGGTCTTTCATCATCAGTATCAGTGGCGCTCGACCGACAAAGTTCGGCAAATACTCAAATTCAGGGAGGGTTGATGCTGGTTAATCAGCGCATCGACCTGGTTCAAGAACAATTGGATATTTTATGGCAATTGGCGCAGTTAGGATGTGAATATAAAATGCCTGGACTTTGTGTTACATCAATACAATATGAAAATTTTATTAGAGCGGCTAATTTGTCCAAAAGTCTTTCTCAGTTCATTTTACAGAATTGGACATTCGAATTTGAACAGATACTGCAGGACTTGAGAACAGCGATCCACCAGAATTGATGTCTCCCTACAAGAAGGACTGTCGTCATGGATCTCTTCTGTCTTCTCTTATTTCAAGGAATGGGTGGGGGTGGGACTCTTCGGGATGTTTCTCTGCTTCGGGATGTTTCTCTGCTTCGGAATGGCAATTTTATTCTTTTTGTTTTGCAAAGTGTTCAAAAAGGCAAAAACAGATAAAGTCATGATTACACAGGCACTCGCGGCTCTAGAGTATGGGGCCTCGGCGG